GGGTTCCCTCCATTTCTCCATTTTTTTTCTGGACAAATTAGGGCTTATTGGACATCTGACTTCTAATGGAAAACCTTTATAAAGCTTCAGTTTCTGTTTGTAGTTCAATCTTGTTGTTTTTCTTGATCTATAAACACAATATATCCCATTTTTTAACTGCATACCCAGAGCCTGACTCCATCTCCATCTCCTCTTGCATATGTGCTCAGTTTGAAGCCCATCAGGCCTCAAGCTTTGTTTACCAGTCATTTAAACATCAAATTGTGAATTATGTTTTTTAGTTCTTTTTAAGTTTATTTGGTGCACTGTTCATCAGGTATCTGGTCTCTGCTTCATGTCTGAAGGTAGACAGTAAGACATTAGACAGTTGAAAGACGTAACCGTGCAGTGTCGAAATAAAGAGATTTTCTCTGATGTGACAGCCCAGCATCAGGGCTGCACTTTATTATATTATACACTGCTCCCATTCATTTTATTTGATTTTTTTCCCCTACAATGTTTGGCTGAATGTCTTTTTTCAAAATGCAAAAAGCATCCTCTCCCAGTAGAAATATAACAGTTCATGTAAATTAGCATGAATGAACTGCTTTGTTGATTTCATAAAAGTTTTCATTTTAGGATCATCGCTGGAAAACTCAACTGCTTTAAGGTTTTAACTATCTAATGCTGGAACTGAAGTGAAGTTTATTGGTGGTCCTTACTGTTAAATCTGCATTTTTAAATATGCATGCACGACCCCCCAGCATGATGCTGCCACCTCAATGCTTTACAGTTGGGCGTTCCTTATGTTGAATGTCTCACCTTAGTTCTTCTAGACATTATGGCTGGAACAATCAGTTTAATTTTCATCTATCTAATATTTAATATTGTTTTAAATATTAGATAGATTAAAATTAATCTGAAGAAATTTATAATTGAAGAAAAAAAAAACTCGAAGGAGTGACCCACTCAGAGCAGCAATAAGTCCTAAATTGCCCATCCAAATCTGAATACTTTTTTGCTAGAAAGGAAAAACTCCTTTGTCTGGAAAAAATATGGAAAAAATAGAAACTTTTTTTTATGATGTTAAAAATTTTCTTTTAAAATCCAGAATTCAATGTAATATTGAGCTTTTCATTTTGCATATTATTGATGTTAAGCAGAAAGAGCTGAGCTTTTGACTTGTTGATGTTAGAACTTCTTTCTTCAGCCTCAGATGCAAAGCTTGGCATAAATGTTCGATTTTATTGGATTGCAGGCAAAAAAGTATTGATTCTCTAACAAAAAAAACAGAAGCATTTGTGACTGTCTAGTTTGTGTACTATTTCAGATCATATACAATGAAATTAAAGAGTTAAAAAAAAATTAGTGGATGTTGAGTTTAATTGTTAGAATAACCTATAGGTTACTAATTAGCTGCCACCCTATTAGATATATTTGTTGTGATTTTGCCTCATCTGACCATGAGTCGCTGCCCTCTTTCATCGTGGGCAGTTAGTAAGTAACCGGACAGAGAGATACATTTTAGTTCCTGGTATTTTTGCATGTTGATATTCTGAGAGAGAATTAATAGATCTAGAGAAAATATGTCATAATAAGAATTTGTTTTCTTTACATTAAAAAAAAGGTCAGACATAAATTCAAAGTTGGAGGGCCTTTTAAATCTGTTGGACTAAATATAAATTACTGGTAAATTATGCTTTTTTTAATTATTATTAACGAGAAACAATATTAGAACCAAATTAATGTGAAAAAAGAGAAAATAACTCTTAACACATAAAAAAAACTGAAATAAAAGAAACAGAAGTGACTGTGGGATGGCGTCTCATTGCCTATTTTTATTTCCAAGCTTCACAGCGACTGTGTGGGATTTGAAGGCTCTGATCAATCTATATACTAGCTAATTAATTCTAATCCCAGTAGGAACACAGCAGATTGGGCCACAGGGTTTGCCAGCACTTTATTTTGTTGATTTCTGTTGAATAAGAAGAAAAAAGGGTCACATGAAACAGTTTTCTGATACACCAGTAGAGGGAGCCAAACACCACAGGAAAGATGCTTCTTTAGATGGAGAGGTTATTTTTTAAAGATTTTATGTATTTTGTTTATTCTTAATGATGCACATTTTGAAGAATTTAAAAGTTTTCTAATTTTTTTTATTAAAAAAAAATCTGAAACAATTGATCTTATACAGCCTATTCTGCATATTCAAGATGTGCTCACAGTAGTTTACAACTTCATGAGCAAAACTTAGACATCCTTATCCATAACATCCCTTCTCAGCTCCATTTATTTTAGCTTTCCCAGACCTTAATAGATCTAAAGTCCCTCTGATAGTTTGATGTCTCCTCCCAATGACATGTGGACAGAAAAGCCTCCCAGAGGCAACTTGATCAGATGCCTGCATCCCCCCAGCTGACTCCAGTTGATGTAGAGGCTCTACTTCAAGCAATAGTCCTGCAAAATAACATTTTGTTTTAAATATTGATGTATTCCATTTCTCTTTCAATCTGAAAGGAGGACAATTATTTGAAATCCCCTTAGGGTGAAAGTGCATTATTCCTTTGCGGAAAATAACATTGCTCATTCCATGTGTAAGCCAGTGACACACATTCAGACATAATTTGGTTAACTGCAGTGCCTTTTCTGTAAATCACTGCTTAGAATCCTCTAAATTGTAGTAAAAAAACAACACAACGACTCAAAGATTAATGGAGAAAGTCTCAGAAAGGAAACAGCAGATTACGAGTAATTAAACAGGACAAATGGGACTGACATTTCTGATGTTGATCCAAATTTTGAATCAGATGCTTTCTAAAGTGCTGTTCCTGGTCTCAGTGAGCAGATTCACTGGCTAAATATCCTGGATGATAAACACCACTAGAAACAAGAAAGAAAATTAAAAACCTTCCCAATGTCTTCATCTGTTGTTACAGTTGTTTTAAGAATCTGATCCACATTGAAAGGAATCACCTCAAGTTAATCTTAGCTGTTAGGAGACAAGAGGCCTTTAAGGGGCTGCTACATCTTAGTCGTTAGATCCTCTTATAGATGGACATAATGAGGGATTATAATAGATCACAGCTGAAACCACTGCCTGACAGATTACTTATTATATTACATTAAGTAAAGTTTTTTATTAGCTCTGGCGACTTTGTTGAACAGGAATTTCCAGGTAAGGAAGACATTTCTTTTATGATAGACTATATGCATGTAATTTAATCGTTTGCACACTAAAATACAAGGATAAATGTTTCTAAGAACTGTAATAGTGCAAAATATTAAAGAAAGATTCTGTTAATGGGACCAAACCCTTAAATCCTATTGTTTCTTTTAGCCATTAGAATTATTATGTCCCTTTTTGTCAATTATAGTTTTAATTTTCATTAGATTTGAAACTTATTCTGTTTAAAGTTATGTCAACTTAAAGCTACAGTGTGTAATAATTACAGGGATATACAGTCAGAAATGTAATATATTATACATACCTATGTTATTTATCATCATCTACGAGCTCAGCCTCTTAACCTTAATATTTGCGTTGCCTTAGAATTCGTTATTTATAATTACATAGGAGCGGGTCTCGCAGCCATGGAGGCAGACATCTTTGCGCTACGGCAACGCAGAGCCAACAAACTAGCGATTGCGAGATCGCCAAAACGTCACAACGATGTAGAAAAAATAACGGGTATATTTATTATCTTAAGTCTACATGAAATCTATACCCTACACAGATTAATGAAATACTATCTGTAAAATTATCTATGTAAACAAACCTCATCACTTGAGAAGGTAGGTGATGCAGACGTTGTGGAAGACATTTTGTCCCGTAACGCTCGCCGTACTGTTGGGGGGGAGAAGCGGTGGGGGGGGGGATGTTCATGTTGCTGCAGTCTGCAGTCTGACCGCTAGATGTCGCTAAAAGTTACACACTGTAGCTTTAAGATGTGCATAGAAACAGTTTTTCTATAGAAAGGAAGACTTTCATATTAGATGACCAATTATGTCACTTTTAACAACTAAACCAGCCATTAGAAATCCCCAGAAGATATCACATCTTCACATTTAACAGTGGAAAACCCTTTTCTAAAATATAAATATTCGATGCCTACGGTTGAATTATATAAGTAATGATGGCAAGGGATGCAAATAAAAGGTTAGAAATTAAAGAAATGCCATAAATGAGACTTTTCTGCACTAATCATATTTTGGGAATAAGAATTAAAAGTTTCTCTATGAAAAAAGCTCAAATGCAATATTTATCTTTAATTGTTGGGTAAAATATTGTTAAGATTTCTGTAAAGTAGCTAGTTGCATTTCACTGGTATATAATAAACAGGTGTTTCCTTCTTTTGTTTGCTTTTGTTTCCTCTAAAAATGGGAGGGGCTGTCTGTATCTCCCCTTAATGTGCAGAACATCAGATTGGCCCAGTCTGTTGTACTGGGCCACCTGCGTGGTGCGTTTTATGGGACAAGGAGGAAAAACTGCTGTGTTCCAGCTGATTAGGAAGCTTCCTGGACCTCCTTATGGCCACTCCTCCCCGTGCCTTCAAAGGCGGTTCTCTCTGTCTGCTGGCTGAAGCGTACGTTACATGTTGAGGCTCAGTCCAAGGTCATCACTGCCTAAATAGCAATAATTGAATCTTATTTTTTTCATATTAATACAGAACTTTGTTTTTCATACAGACTTTTTTTCTTTGTTTAGATTCTTTTTTCTAATCATAACGGATTAAAGTGATTGTTGCGTTTTAATCTGTTGGGTGTGGAGATGGAATAAAACCAGTGAGGACCATCATGCTGTGTGTTGGTCCTGTATGTTCCCTGCATGCAGTCTATGTTATTCCTCCCTTATCTCTTAAACATAACCAGCTGGTACTACGCAGAGGTATTCATCCCTTCCTTTCTCTTTTTTTCCTGCTGTCCCAGCTGCTCTCTCTACCTCTCTCTGCCCCTCCTTTACCCCCCCCCCCCCCCCCCTTCCAATCTCATCCTTCTGTCTCAGCCTCCTTTCCACTGTCATTTCCATCCCATCCCAGCTAGACGTAACATGTGCGGCTGCGTGTACACAGAGGATGGCTCGCTGCTCAGGTGCAGACTTGGGAAACCAGTCAAGCAGGCAACAGGACTTGTCTATTTAACCAGACACCAGAGCTTTGTGTTGATGTAGGGGCTTCAGCCTCCTTTTGGACCTGCCACCCTGGAGCTCTAAATGTTCCTGCAACTAAGCTGATCTTCATTTATTTATTTATTTATTTTTTGTTTTTCTTCACTAGAGGACAATCATTTAAAAGAAACGTATTTTTTTAGATTTGGTTAATTCCTTTGGCACCTAAAGCAGTGGAAGAAGCATTATTTTCAGAGTGGGAATTTAAGGAGATGAAACCGGGATAGCCGTGCGTCTGCCCTGCTTCAAACTGGATTACAGCATAGACACAGTGTGAATAGCTGCAGAGGAAGAAAAGAAGAGCTCAAACAAAGAGGGAAATTTTAAAAGTCCCTCCTAGACAATCACCTCCCTCCACACCTGTGACGGCTTCTCCTCTGAGAAAACGAAGGAAAGGAAAGTAATTAGGAGCTAATACATAAAAAAAAGGGTGAAGTCCATTCACCCCCCCACCCCTTGCTTCCCACCTGTCTGGATTAACTGGGCTGGAGCACCATGGCGCACGCCGCCTCACAGCTGAAGAAAAAGGCGGATGAGAATCTCGCTGCAGAAGATGAGAAGGAGAAAGAGAAGGAGAGAAAGAGGGCAAGGAGGAAATCGCGTGAAGTAAAGAAAAAGGTAAAGAGATTCACAGAGAAGAAGGGTGGAAGTAACCGAGGGGTTGGAGGCAGTGTGGGTCTGGTGGAGTCCAGGAGCTTCTCTTTTGTCATGATGCAGCCTCCTCTCTGAGACAAACACAATCCTCCATGCACATGCATTGAGATGAGAGGGGGCAGCCCCAGTGGGAATACTCAGGAGGGTGGATGGGTGGGTGAAAACGACAGAAAGATGGATGAGCCGGGAGCACGCGCAGCAGGGGAATTAGATAAATAACAGACCTCAAAATCCAGCTGAGCTATAAAACATCTCCTGTTCTGAGAGATGGGAGGAAACTACCAGTTTTATTAGATGAATAGTTTGTGCTTACAGGCTAATTCCTGATGATTCCAGTTGTGTTTAATTATCATTCTTTATTTAGCATCATCTATTGCTTGTTTTGGGGTTGGTCTGGAGGAACCTCACGGTTCCTGTTTTGGTGGTGAGAACGTGCGTGACTTCAGAGGAGAATCACGCCTCTTCAGTGTTCACGCCCTGCGGTTAGGCCTGGACCTTTTCTCTGCCTGTTTTTAATCCAAGGATAAAAGTTAAGACTTGATCTTTGACACACAGAACACCTAGATGCTGATCAATAGCTGGGAGTTGAAATCAATAACATCTCTGCTGCAGCGATGGCTTCGCTAATGAAGGCTTCAGGGTCTGAATAAGTTTGTTGACCTTTCTGATTCGGCTGTTGTTGATACAGCTTCAGCCTTGTTGGATGTGAACGTGCTGAGATTTAGGTTTGTTTGTGTTGGGTGGAGCAGCCTGAGGTCAGGATTAGTGTGGTGTTAGCCACCTGTTATAATTCATATATAGAACCAATGCTGTGACCTTAAAAGTCAAGGTTAAAATGGATAGAAAAGAGCAAATTTTTATATTTATCTGAGGAAAATGACGTTATAGATCATTTTTATGTAAAGATGAAAAGTGATACACCTTGGGGAGGAGGTGGCCTAGTGGTTATGGCATAGAGCTTGGAATCCTGAAGTTCTGAGTTCGAGCCCCACTTCCACAGACTGCCACTCTGGCTCTCTGAGCAAGACCCTTAACCTCTTACACCCTCAGGGGGAATAAATAAATTTCTGCCTGACAAAAACACACAAAAGTAAATCACTTATAGTCTCACAGCTATTAGATTTAAGAAGAAACTTTTGGTACCTCTGTAAAGGTAAGATGTCATAGAATGGTTTTCTGGTGTCAGCACCATTGCAGCTTTGACCCTGCCTGAAATATTAGGGACAAAATACAAAATATTTTGCATTTTTTGAACCTCGCCAAAATTTTCTTTGAAATAAACATTGCAAAACACTACCAAAATATTATTTATAGCACAAAACAGTAGTACAGACTTTTAAATCTAAATGTTGTGTAAAAATATACCAAATTTGGACTCAATCAGATGAATCATATTTATTTTAGAATGGTATTAGTGAGAAATTTCTTAGGCGGAGGGGCCATTTTGGCACATTTATCCAAAAATGTCACCAAACTGTGCCAAATATGTTTTTTACATCAATACTGGGGGTTTGTTAAAATTACGAGGTCACGTAGCAGCTGGACCCACCGGTGGGTCCGTAGGGTTCTAGGGGTTAACCCGACAGGGCTCCCAGGATTCCCACTGGTCCTCAAGGGGATGGGTTAAATGCAGAGGTCAATTTCTCCAATGGGAAATCAATAAAAATAAAACATTATTATTTAGAAAGATTGAGATATCTTAGCTGAGGTGGATCGGGCATCTGTTTTGGATGCTTCCTGGTCACCTCCCTCGGGAGGTGTTCCAGGCATGTCCCATTGGGAAGAGGCCTTTTAGAAGGCCTGGACACGCTGAAGGGACTATATCTCTGAGCTGGCCTGGTGTCGCCTCGGGGTTCCCCCAGAGCAGCTGGAGGAAGTGTTCGTGGATCGGGAAGTCTGGGCATTTTTGCTTAGACTGCTGCCTCTGCAACCCGGCCCCGATTAAGCGGAAGAAAATGGATGGATGGATGGATGGATGGATGGATGGATGGATGGATGGATGGATGGATGGATGGATGGATGGATGGATGGATGGATGGAGATTTCTCTGTCTTTGAGGTAATGAGTTGGTCATTACATTAAAAGCTATCTGACTATGCAAATACATGATATGTCAGGAAAACTTTATGAATCAATTTCTTTCTCTGGAATGATAATATAATACAAGTTTTATCACACAACAGAATAAAAAAAATATGCTCAAAATCTTTGAATATCAATATCAAGATTATACAATTTTTTTAAGATCTAAATTCCACAAGTTGATACAGATAATAAAGCTGTTGTCACACCAAATAAGGATGCTTACAAAGATAGCTTGAGATCTTTTCCTCTCGATATAACATCATTATCAATGTTTAAAAATTTAGTCTGTAGTCCTTTGGATATTTATATCCTTACTGGATCGTCAGAAACAGAAAACCAGGGCTCAGTTTATGAAGCACTTCACACAGCTGTGGAGCCTTTGTCAAAAATAAAAAGTGGATGGCATATTGCTACTACAACCAGACTCAAAATTGTTTGAAAATTAACTGAGCATTTGCAAGTTTCTTGTTTTGGCCCCGTTGTATGTATTTATTTATTTATTGCCACATTATTGGTGAAAAACCTTTGCAATAATGACAGCATCCATCTTTAGGTTGGGTTTGCTTCGTGACGGGCTCTGAGAAAGAACACCCGTTTGGGTGGAGCTCCTGCAGGGTGGCACGCAGAACTTGCTGTGTGGATGTAAACTCACTAAAGGTTTTCAGTTTGGATAATCACACATGCTGTTAAAGTGGAGGGAAATCCTGGATGCAGTTCTGCTTTGTAAGGAGCTTTAATCAGTGTGACAGAAACTGTCACACCTGCCAGAGAAAACCGGCAGCATCAGCTAAGAAATCAAGAAAATATAAAAACATTTTCTTTACAAGCTGCACCTTTCCGTTAGTGTCATTAGATGTGAGCTTAAATCTCCACTGCAAAAAAGATCTAGAAATAAGTAAAAATTTCTTAAATTAAGTGTATTTAACCTTAATTTGAGCAGGTAAATTAGATAGTTTGCCAATGGAATGAGTAATTTTACTCTTAAAATAAGATTATTAGATAATATGCACTTGAAATAAGACTATCCAATAGAGTTTTCTTATTCTAAATGTAAATCGTCTTGTTCCATTGGCAAAATGTCTCTTTTACCTCCTCAATTCAAGAACAAATGCACTTAGTTTAAGAAAAAATGACTTATCTAGATTTAGATTTTTTTGCAGTACTTTGTTCAAGGTAACATCGATGCAGAAAAAGGTAATATTTACCTTAAATAAGAATTTTTATCCTCAAAAGGTCAGAACCAAAACAGCAATACCTCATCCTTTCAGTATCTCTACCCAGCAACTCCTCCAATCTTCATTCCGGAAAACAAATAGATATGATTTTACTTAACAAAAGCAAATGAAAGAAGTTTAAAATGATAAACACTATTGAGCATGAACATGAATAGACAAGGAGGAGATGCTCGGACTTGTTGTTTAATCCTATAACCATCGTTCTTTACTGATTGCTTTTGTGCTTCATTATCCATTTTAAATCACTTAGACTTCATGGAGTGTATTGTTCCAAAAAAAGGCTCCTGATCTTAGGACACTGCAGACCCGGAGAACAGGAGCAGTTTGAAAGTAGATATTTTCACTTGCCTTTTCTTTAAATGAAGTAACAAATCCTTCCTACAGTAGAGGTCACACTGATTTTGACTGCATGTTTTTGTGTGAAAATGGAGCAATTTTTCATGTGTAGTTGAGGCAATAGCTGATTTATATGTAAAAATATTATGCATAGAAAACTTTAGGAGGCTGGAGGGAAAAAAATCCCATCATGCTGGGATGGCACAGAATGAAACCAAAGGAGAGCATATATATCACCAGAAATCACGGCCTGAATGTTGACCTTTATTTGCACCTTTTCAATGACCGGTTTATGTTCAAGGCAACAGGTAAGGCATATGTTGAGGCTGCAATAGAAAAAAAAAAAGGTTTATGTCACATCAGCAGTTCCCCCGTGTTTGTAGCGTAACATTGGAGAGAACGTATCATCTATCGCTGGCTCATCCAAGGTAAATCTATATCGCTGTCTGCCCAGGGCCTGTTCTTGGCACAGGAGAGCAAAAATATCCTCCCTCTCCTCGGATCACATCTCCTCATTATGTCTTTTCTTTGCCTCACCTGACTCGATTTCACCCGTCCCATCGGGCCAAGCTTTTGTTTTCCCTTTGGTTTCACAATGTCGCCTGAGCTGGTAGATGGGCTACTATTAACTGAAACTTGATCAATGTTCTGTATTTTTACAGTAAAACCAGAAAAAGGTTTCCACTTTGTTGTAGAACTAACAGATGAGGGTTTAGTGAAAATCTTCTCCTGCTTGTTAACAAACTTATGGATTCTGACAGTTCTTTTTAAAAATTACAGATATTCTTTACATTTTTCTGGAAGACATGTGCTTTACATTAGTTAACTTAATAAAATAAAATCCAGAAACGGAACTTCTATGCAAATTGCAGGTCTTTGAATGCTGCTCAGGAATTTTAGAAAAAGGTTTTTCAGCTAGCCGATTGTCTTAGAGCTGAACTGGCACAGTGTTCAGTCAGATGAGCATACCCGGTCAGACTAGCATACCCATAGTCAAAACCTTTTTATCCCTTTACTTTATCCCAGTTTATCCCTTTAGTTTACTCCTTTAGTTTTGTACGAAAAATACACTTTAAACTAGGGATGCACGATACAATCGGCCCCCTATCGGTATCGGCCTATGTCAGCCTTAAAACTGAATATCGGACATCGGCACCCCCACCGATATTTAACCCGATATTTGATCAGCTTCTGAGTTTCTAAAGTCTAAAAAATAAAATAAAAAAGTACTACTTCTTCTTCTTCCTCAAAAACTTCTTTTTTACAGACTTAAAAACTTCTAAAGACGAGGGAAAAATATTGATACAG